AATCACAAGAAAAAAAAAAAAAGGTCTGTCCCCATGATGGACAGATCGTTAATGGCTGGTCCTTGTGGTAATTACAGTATTACAGCCTACTCCTACCAATGAATTTGCTCAGCCGTGGTGGTCAAGAGCTCTACTTGCGCTGCCTTGGTGGCCTACAGCACCTCTGTGGTGGTCTTCAGCCCCACCTGCACCAATATGGTGGTCTATGGTCACCTCCCTCCTTGACTTTTTGTTTTCTATTTTGGACTGGGGAACGTCTGGAATCCGCTCCTTTAATTAAATTCAAGTTTATTTGTATAGCGCTTTTCACGATACAGGTCACTGTGTCTGTTTGAGCACATGGCTTATTGTTTGTTGTTGCCATGTGCTCTCCTGTCTGTTGTCTGACCCCGCCCTTCTTGTTATCTCATTATTGTTTCAGTTACTCTAACTGTGTCTCCCTCGTTACCCTCCTCGTTTGTCTCCCTATTTATTCTCCTGGTTTCTGCAGTCCTGTGCTGTTTTGTCGTTTAATGTCTGATGTCACTCGTGAGATGTGTGCTTTTGACACGTGTGCTTCCTGTGTGGCATTGCTCTTCCTGTTCCTGCCTTGCTCTGCTGTGTTGTGCCCTTGTGCCTGGCTTGCCTGCCTGTTTTTCCCCCTCAGGGTAGTTTGTTTTGTTTTTACTATTAATAAATGCCCATCGTCCTGCAATTGAGTCCTCGCTTCATCCCTCATCGGAACCATGACAACTCTTTATAGGTTTGAAATTATTTTAGTTTTTATCCTGGATTCACTGAATCTTGCAGTCTACTTTTTGGCAGCACTATGTGACTCAAAACTGGAAAAAAAATCCCACCGTGTGTATTCAGCTTTACTCTGTATGTTTGCTCTGTTTACATTCCATTTCACCAGTTTTTAGTGGATTAGATCTGTTTATATTAATTGATTATATCATCACCCCAAAGCCACATTCACTTCACCTCCGCCCTAAATATGCTTTATAAACACGCATATGATTGTTAACTTTTTCTTAGAGGATATTGAACATTTAATCTCCAGCTACTATGGAAATATTCTGTTAAAGTGAGCTGAGTTTATGTGGAATGTTAAGCATAATTGTGGTTAGCCAATCATAATAATTCCAGAAAATAAGACCCATCACCAGGGGCCCATTCTTCGTACGTCACTAACTCAGTTAACTGGATTTGATTGTTGATGATTTGGCATGATCTTGGATTATTTGGTTCTTCGAAGCTCATCCTGGACTTGCTGTCATAGCAACAGGTCCGTAAGCTTAAACCTTCTCGGGAGCAGACTTATTTCATGTAAACAGGATTAGATTGCACTTTTTTAAGTGGAATTGATATTTAAAATCTATCCCAGCCAATGCTACTTTATTACAAGAGTACCCTACTAATCCGGGCATTAATTTGAGTGGTGACAGCTATTATGGGAGTGGCTTGATGGAGCGCAAGAGATGCAGATAACTTGATCTTGACCCTTAAGAAACTTTAATTAATGCTGTCACATAACAAATCTGCTTCAAAGATAAAATTACATGAATTGCTAATTACAACATTGAAATAAAAATGTAAAGCCTGTACAAATACTAGAAATCGTGAATATAAAAATTGGGAAGCATGTATAAAACAAAAAATAAAATAACACATTTCATTTATCTATTATAACATTTTTGTAGTTTTGTTCACTTGGCTGTTTACTTAAAAAGGTCCAGAAATTTGTCAAGTTTCGTCAGGTGTCTTTTTTAATTATATGATGTCATTATGTTGCTGTCTTGCCGCCAGCCAATCGCTGCATTGCTGATCGTGGTTTCGAGTATCGATACATCTGCCCTTTACGGGGAACACGAGAACGCGCAGTAATCTTAGACAACTTAATCCAGATATTTTAATCAAATCTGCAAATTCGTTTAAAGAACCAAATTAGCCAGAGATCAGTTATCAGGATTAGAAGAGGTACTTGTGTTAAGCGAGGTACGAAGAATGGGCCCCAGGAGCCCCAGCGTGCCCTTTCTGTTTCTATTCAGAGCAAGTCTAAGACACACCCAGAGCATCATTCCAAGCCCACAGAGTGAGTCTGCTTCATAATGGGGCACTCAGCGTGCATGATCACATGGCTCTAGGTATCAAAAGAGCCCTGGGGAGTTTTAAAACACATTTTGGGTTCGTTGAGGGGGAAACCCACTGAAAAGCATTTAATAGTAGCTTTCTGGAACGCATCTACTGCTGAGTAGAATGTTTCACTTTCTAAAGGCCTGTTGACACCTAGAATTAAAAGCATCACAAATTAAAGATCTATTCACTAAGAGAGAAATGAAAAAGCACTCTGGTTAGTCGTGTGCATTATTTCTGTACAAACACTCTCTTACTTTAACAGTGGCGCACAACAGCTTGAACATCAGCTGATATTTTGGTCGCAGCATTATTTTTATAAAATGAAGGGGAAAACCTCATTCTAATTAATTGAACAATCTCATCTTATTTGTTTTGTCTTTGCCTATGCACACTACTGTATATATTTGGTGCCATTTGTGTCCAGTTTATCTATTTAAAGCAAAAGTTCACCCAAAAAGGAAAGTCTGTCATCATATACTGTATATTAATCATCATGGCTTTATTCTCTCTTTGCATAAGCAAAAGCATAAGCATGTTGAATCTGTATAGAGGTGGATTCATAAGTCATATTTACAAAAGGTGTTGAACATCGTATGCAGTAGTGAACGTCTCATTGCATTTGTGTCCAGTGATTGTGATGATGTGATTGTAGAATCAGCATTTGTTAGTCTGGGCATCATTAACTTGGACGGACTCATATTGTCAGTCTATAGAGTTTCGTTTTCTTGTTTTCTAGGGATGTGCCACTAACAATAGATGAATCATGATACCTCAGTCACGATATGATGCATATTGCACTTTATATTGTGCATACGTTGCCAGAGTTTTTGTTTGTTTCTTCTTGATGATTTAATAACAGATTGGGCACTTTGTATTTGTGCAACTATGCTACAGTAACATTCACCTCAACATTGTTTTTAAAAAAGCACGGCTCTTTGGAGAGTTAACATTATTGCACAATAGATTATTCTAGATATTGAGTGCATCCAGATATTTCTACAGACACACACCCCTGAACTACTGTGCAGTGTTGAGTTTCATGAAGAAGAGCCTGAAGCACCAGATCAGAAAGATCTCAAACGTCGCAGGGCGATGGATCAGAGACCCTGACACCAGTGACCTCACACAGATGGATGGAGGGAGTGAGAGGGAGGAAAAGGGAGTGTTGTACACAGAGGCCTGAACAAACAGCTGAGGATCAGAAATTCCTCAAACAGTGCGCCGTGGGCCGGATGTTCTCGCTCCAGCAGAGCCGGGTGTGGTGGGATCTGTAAACACTGCTCTTTGATACGGGCTGATAGAGCTTCATATTACAGTACCACCACACCACTGTAACCCAGATCTCATCCAGAGTATTGTTTGTTTATTATGTTGAAAAATGTGTATATAGACTACTGGTTAAAAAGATTTGAATAAGTGTGATTTTTGAAAATGTTTTTTTAATGTTTTGGAAAAAAATATTGTATGCTTACCAAGGCTTTTATTTGATGAAAAATACAGTAAAAACAGTAATATTTTGAAATATTATTACAATTTCAAATAACTGTTTTCTATGTGAATATATTGTAAAATGTAATTTATTTCTGTGATGCAAAGCTGTATTTTCAGCATCATTACACCAGTCTTCAGTGTCACATGATCTTCAGAAATCAGTCTAATATGCTGATGCTCAGTTATTGTCAATTATTAGTGCTCACTTATTAACAATGGTTCTTATTATTATCATTGTTAAAAGCAGTTCAATGTTATAAACAATATAAATGTCTTTACTCTCACATTTAATCGTTGAAGTGTCCTTGCTGAATAAAAACATTAATTTATTATATATATTTTTTTTAAATTGTACTTACCCCAAACTTTTGAATGATAGTATATCATTATTTCCACAAAAATATTAAACAGCACAACATTGCTAATAGTGAGAGATGTTTCTTGAGCAGCAAATCAGCATATTAGAATGATTTCTGAAGATCATGTGACACTGAAGACTGGTGTAATAAATGAGCACCGCAATAAAAATACATTTGACATTTTACAGTATATTCACATATTAAATATATTACATTTAAATTGTAATAATATTTCATAATCTTACTTTTTTTACTGTATGTTCAAATAAACGCAGCCTTAGTGAGCAGAAGAGACTTATTTCTTATCTTCTTTCAAAATTGTAGTTATTTCAAACAAGTATTTTAAACATATTTTCCTTTTCGTTTCAGTGACCAATAAGAAACCAGCGCAGGTGTTCCTCACGAAGGTGAAGCAGTTTGAAGGCTCCTCGTCTTTCGTCAGGAGATCACAGTGGACCATCAGTCAGCTGCGGCAGGTCAACGGCATCGACTCCGTCCGAGTGAGTAGATGGGCTCTTGCTCCTTTAGATGCTGTGTTCTGTTGGATGGCATTAATCTTTGACTGCTTCTCGTCATCCTAAAATGTTCAGGATTGCCCAGAGTTTGACTTGATATTTGAGAACGGATCCGACCAGTGGACTGCAGGTTCAGCTGGAGAGAAGTGTGTGTTTGTCCAGGTCCTGCATCACACATGTCAGCGGTTCATCCCCGAAAGAAAACCAGAGTTCATCAACTGCCCCTCCAAACTGCTGGGAGGTGAGACGTCCCGTTCAAGCTTACCGTGCACCCTCTCTTTCACTATACGCTACATGTTTTTGTTTTTTTTTAATAATGGGGCACAACATGTTTTGAAGGAAGAAGGATTAAATTATTGTTGTTGTCAAAGACTTTATATGTGCAATTTACTTTGTAGTATATTTTTGATAATACCTAAAAAAAATATCCCTTTCACATGAATGAATGAATGAAGGTCTATTATATGCATTTGGCTCATAATTTTATATAGTGGCTTTTGAAACTATTGTACTATTATTGCACTACTATACTGTAGTAACAAAAACATAACTTTTTAAAATGTTGCTTTCTGTTTTCTTGTTTTGATGTTCGATTATTGCTAGAAAATAATGTAATCATATAAATCTGGTTTTCAAGCTATATTAAAGGTCGGAAATTTTGGTAACATATTGCGAAATAAAACCACGCATATAATATATATTTTTTATATTATATTGTAAAGTTCTTTATTATTCCACTGTATTGTCTGCAGTACAGCAAATCTGTGTAGTTCCTCTAATCATGAAAAGCTTGTTACTTTTAGTTTTCTGTGTCTTTGATGTTTATAGCTTATATCCTAAGGACATGATTAATGGAGGCTTTTCTTTTACTATAATTACCCTCATACTCACTTTATTTCAGATACTTTCTGTTTGTTGACATATTACTGGATGTAATTTAGAGGTGTAACAATACATAAATTTTCTGAATGCAACCCTGCTTATGCAACTACATTAATCTTGACATATGACTTTTAAATAATCAGTTGTGTTAGTCAGTAATCAATTTAAAATGCCAAGAGATTCTCATTTTAAGTAGCTAACAATAATAGCTTTAAAGGTCCCATATTTTACACCCTTTTGGAGTTTTATTTTAGGTTTTGATGTCCTTAAGAATATATATTTGCGGTATAAGTACCAAAAACCATCTCAATATATTTTTACAGCTACTTTCTCAGGAGCTCTGCTGAGAACAGGTCGATTTTGGCCTGTTTAGTTAATATTCATGAGCCTCTCTTCTGATTGGCCTGTTGTTTTCTGAGTGACGCATGGCCAGGCCAACCACAG